GTCATTCAGAGTTAACTCCCTTTGAATTATCTGCCCTTGATTTCCATGGCAACAAAATATGCTCTAAAAGTGCCACAATTATTGTACTTATATTTCTGTTGGTTTCATGCAACATTTTACAAATGGAAGTGTCGTTATTAGTGGCTCAATAACTACCCAATATTCTACCAAATGCTTTAAGTTTTGTGGGTTTCAGTGGTTTCATATGTGACAGTTTGGAGGAATTAAGTTGCCTCAAATGGACCAGTTTTGTTTTTGGACTTATTAGTAGAGCCTCTGAGTGACCATTTCACAATTCACAGTATTTTGTTATTTTTGTTTGTTTCATAACCGGTCATATGTCATCAATTTAGCATAAAGACCTAAGACTTATAAACTTTGTAGGACTGTATAATGACATTCTAGTCACGGATCTTAGTAAGTGAAGGTAACATGGGATTTTAAGCTCAAGTAGTTAACCGAAATCATGTTTTGTTTCATTTTGCAATAGTTCATGTCAACACATGTTTATATTGAAGTTGTATCTGAATCTGAATGAATCACTGACGTGCAGTAACAATAATTACTTACTGCACTGAAGACATTTGAAGTGCATTTTGTTGAAGCAAACAACACTGGCCATGAAAATCCTATTATACTATTACCTAGGGCTGGGACGGGTCCAAATGTACCCCACCCACTATTACCCCACCCTACCCGGATACCCATTATGTTAATTTCTGACATCAAATTTGTAAGAAAATCGCAATATATTCCTCAACGCGGGGTCTATAAAGTTCGAGTTTTTCAAGATCGTAACCATCTTCAAAAGAGGTGACTGTAATTATGTTTAAATCTACAAAGACAATACAGCCTTTTAATCATGAAAGAATAGCATATTACATTGTTTAATCTATTAGTCACATGATCATAACGGGTCCGGGTATTGAAACGGGTACCCGGATGCAACTCATTACCCACCCGTCCCGGGTATTCGGGTTATCCGTCACGGTGTCCTCTCACTTAGCCAGATTCTGTCGAAACAGGTCCCTCATATAGCCAGAGTGGGATCTGGCTGACCAGGGTTAGTGTTTTGATAACGCATGTCCAGATGAGCCATATAGTCTGTATCAACAAAATGCTCAGTTAGTGAAATTCGTGAATTTTGTATTAAAGTGAGACACATTGGTATGGTATTATTTGAATTTCTTTACATTTTTCATTTTACGTGTGCTGAGCCATTGTCTGTATCAACAAAATGGTCATGATTAGGAAATGCTCAGTTTGTAAGATTAGTTAAATTAATTAAAGTGAGATACATTGATATGGTATTATTTGAATTTCTTTACATTTTACAGAAAATGTAAATAAAAATATGCTTGGTGCAAAAGATGTAGATGTACGGACACCACATTTATTGAGTGCTAGTAACCACTCCTAAATCCTAGCCTATTCACAAAGCCAGCAATTGGTTCCAAAGTCATGGGTTTTTTTGCTGCTTGTTAAGAACCAGTTCTTAAGTCAAGCCCTATTTATGTATGTTAGCATCCACTTTTTAACAGTGATAAACAGTACCAATACCACTCAACACGTGTACGACAAGATAACATTTTAACTATTGCACTTACAAATTCCACTCACATATTTATTGCTGTATGGACCAATTCTCTAGTGGCACTTGGCGGTGGGACAGCCTAGTGGACACAGAAATTTTGCAGAACTATGGATTGATATATAACCAAATTTTACATTGTCGTATTAGACTGGGATGCAGCAACATGGACACTGCATTTCTAATCTTTGAAGGACTGTTATACTATGTATTAGTTTGGGAGAGAATTAATATAGGGGAAACACTGTTTGTCAATCCCACTGTACACTACTAGTGGTACAAGAATAAATATTGTTTAAAGGTCACATGCAACCAACGTAAAACACAACTTTGCAGATTCTGATACCTTTCGGTATGGACTTACAGATACAAATCATCAAAAATGCAAATTCAACTTATAAAGTTAAAAATAACGCGATGAAAAACCCCGCGAAATCAGAGTTCAAACGATTCACTAAATACACCCCAGCGCTTGGGGTGAAAAGTGGTTTCAACAGCTGTGCTGCGCTGCGCTGGGCTGCGCTCATAGCACATGCGTAGTGAAATAGGTTCGCGCAGCTTGGAAGCGGGATGTCCGGATTATAAGGTCGTGAGCAGGAGTAGTCTAATCAGAATAAATAGTAAATAATCTACTCATAACATAAAAGAACCTTGTTAGGATCTACATCTACTCAGCTATGTGTCAGCCAGTGAGGAAAACCTTCGCTGGCAGTAAATACTCAGTGAAGGCTTTTTATATGTGATGACAGTAGATTACCGATTTAACTGTTTATATAATTTCATTTGTCTATTTCACCACACGTTCTTCTTACCGAGTCACTTTCTCAGTTCGATACTTAAAAGCGTCATTATTTAGCGTTGACAGAATTTCTAACTGTGATATAGATATGTCGTTGTCACAGAAAAAACTCAATGTCAGTTTTATTGACACTTATGTGTCTGCCTGCCTGTCTGCTAATGACAATATTCAATACACAACTTCGATCACTGACCACATGCAATTGGAAGTTAACACCTATCAGGCTATACACCATAAACAAAACGCATTGATTTATGGACCGAGTTCGGTCTCAGTCACATTATGTAATTACACAGACAGGCAGGTGTGATACTTGTACACGTGACATGTTATGAGGTCTGTTGATTACAAAATGTTATACTCAAAAAATGAGCATGTATTTACAAAACCTAACATCTCTATAGACACACACACAATGAGCCGTGAGGGCATCGGCAAATGAACCAGTCGTTACACTTGAGTGCTCACCCACCCGTTCTGACTGGGTTCGGTATCCAGGTTGCTTCGTTTCGACGGAAGTAAACCCAAGTACAAAATATTGCACTTTTGATTTGCAATTGTGCGCTTATAATTTGTTCATATGTTTTTTCATAATCAGCAATGCATATTACATGTCATGAATAAGTGATAATTGTGTTTTAATTATGTTTGATATGTTGGTTCCATGTGACCCTTTACACTACACACACACTTGCATACATCTTCAATCGTGTCGCAATTTAGGTATAAATTAAAGCCCTAGAACAAAGGCTCACGCTTCAGTGGCTAATGCTACTTACCTGGCTCGCATCTCTCACCTAGCCATAGTGCAATGTTGTCTTAACAAGACCTTTTTAGGAAGACTCTAGCTACGTGAGAGTGAAACCCCGTCACAGCCTTACTATTACCTTAATCATTATGTTCCCAAAACTCTGTTGCAATACTTCAATTACACATTCCATATTAAGACTCTATATCATTTTATTTATGTGTTAACCATCGTCAAACAGCCATTACATAATGGGAACGGGGAGCGTGAAAGCATGGTGTAACAGCAACTAAGAAAAGGATGTCGTACACAGAGGGCTATACTCATAAAAGTAGGGAACCCTATTTTAATCTACGACTGAAAAAGTGGGAGATAGATCGGAGTCAATCAATGTTGATATGATAATAATGCATGTTTAGAGAGCGCATCACCATTTGCACTTCCGTTTGACCATAGTGGTTTGTACAGTAGTCGCTCTAGAAAGGTGATTGGTTTATGACGTGAAATTTGCATGTGCGATTTTCATTTTCAAAAACAAAAAACAAAACAAAAACCAGCTAAAAGCAAACACTAACGACCGTGTGATGCAAGATGATTGTCAAAATTAATGGTCTACAGTGATTTATCGTCCTGCTTGAAAACCTTTTTAAATCAAGAGTGACACCCCATGCACGTGTATGATGGGGCTACTGTGTTGTGCACGTGCGTTGTGTTTAGGGGTGGTGATAAAGAGAAATGGTGGTGCGTTCATAAGATGTCTGTTTTTGAAAAGTTTGTAAAGCTTATACTTCTTATCCGAATTGAAAGTTCAGGTTCCACTTTTTTGGGGAGAGTTCATTATGAATTTATGATGCACGCACGTGGGCAGAAACCTTAAAGTCAATATATCACAATATGCAATATCTCTTAAAGTATTGCAATATATCGCAATATGAGAATCAGGGCAATATCCAGCTCTATTTTCTTATATCGATCAGTGTTCAGCGGACGCGTTATCCAAGGGCTTTCTATTTCAATGTTGAACTGAATTGGGCAAGTGTACTGCCATTACACTTGAAATGGCTATGACTTGGCATTTGTGTTGCAAGGTGTTCTTGAATTAGGTATCACGTGTCTTCCTAAATGAGGTGTTGCTGTTAAACTGTTTCATGGGACATTTTTGAGAGACAAATGAAGTCCTGGAATATAGAGTTTATTCATTAAGTTTATGGTAGTATTTTGGGACATATACAATATTGCATTAATATGAGCAGGTTTTTCTGAAGTCTCGTACACCTTCCTTCCTTATTATGCTAAATTTTGTAAACGTAAGTAAGTTAGTAAGTAAAACTGAAAATACCTATCCTTATACTAACCCGTTAAATAAAACCAGTCCTTAGAATATCACTATTGAACAATGATCAGGATTGTTAACTTGGAACCGGATAGCATATGTTAATTCCATTATACCACATTTTGCATGCGTCGTTGTGACTAGAATGTAACGAAGTAGTGCTAGTATTTACAAAGAATAAAATGGGTGCCTGTGTTTGTATATATTATATGCATCATCAGCTGTGTACACAAATCATAGCTATTGCGATACACCATATTGTGAAGAGAATATATTCTAATGCAGATTCAAATTTAGGATTTATATAAAGACTATTAATGATCAATACATTTACCCACGTAAACTCATAATTTCAGATTATAAGTGAATTGATCCTCAGAATAGTGCACGCATATAAGTTTGAACGTAACTTTGAACATCCGGTTTGTGACATCTCCTAATCTAAGACGTTCAAACAAAGCTGAAACCTTTGAACAAGGAAACATCATGGGGCTGCTATGTGTTTTGATGAAGTAAAACGCCTTTGCTATTTTCTTATCACTACCTGCTTCGTAACTACGCGTTGACAAACTGTAAGTATTCAGACACACCCGCTTCCCGACTGAGAAAAGTTAAACATCACTTCATGACTCCTTGTATTGGTACAGTAACATACGTCACAAAGCTTTCGTCTGTTATAGCTTGGGTCATAAAAGGGCACAATTGTCGCCTGAAATGTCTCACGTCAACCAAGGTGATGTAGTTCATGCAGTGAAAGGAGTAACATCAAAATACTCGAATGAACCATGGCACCCAGTGGTTTAGGATATATATTGATATAATATGAGACGTCTTAACCCCTGAGTTATATGCTTTTATGTGATACGACATGCGTTCTGGAAACATTACCCAGTGAGTGTATGATATGTATGTATAAGATACGACATGCGTTGTGAAGTGATTACCCATTGAGGTATGATATGTATTTATATGGCACAAGATGCGTAGTAGAGTAATTATTGTGTGAGATATGATATGTTTTTAAATGGCACGGGATGCATGTTGGAGTAAGCTACATACCAGTGTCCACATAAAACAGTCATAGCGAGCACTGCATTGATGATAGCTGTACTTGCCGATACAGTGATACACAGGGAACAAACAGCAACCTACTGCAAATGTAACTCAGTATGATAAATTGAATATAGAAAAATATTTATATTCAGTAAATATTAAATGTCATTGTCTGAGAGCAAGCAATCTCGATTTTCCAAAGAAACGGATAACATCTGAAAGGTAAGGTTGGGCGATAATTATATGAATACAGCACTGGTTTTCGCGAAATAGTGGGCATGTTCTGGCCTACCACTGGCACCTGCCTCTGACATATATTTGCTGCCAGTTAAATGGCGTTTTGAACCTATGAGGCCTGATTGCTTTTACTTGCACATATGTCAATATTCAGGCAGTATATGGTTTGTTTGTTCGCTTTTTAACGCCGCAGTCAGCAATATTCCATCTATATGACGACGGTCTGTAGATTATGGAGTCTTGACCAGACAATCAAGTGACAAACATCATCAACATCGATTATCACAATTGCGATACGATGACATGCATCCACCAAGTCAGCATCCCTGACCACCCGATCCCGTTATTTGCCTCTTACAGCTATATATGACGAGTACCAGATGTGTAACTAAAGATGAGTTGAATGAGATGCATTGTGCATCATTGTCGTTATCAGAAGCGGTCGTGAACAGAGTGTGCATCCCTTCCATGTGAAAGCCAACTAAAAATGTAATTCCACCGAAGCCACAAGAGTGTTTTCATGTACCCCAAAATGTATTCCAATGGCATGTCACTGTATCAGTCACATATGTTTCCCTGAGCCGCGTGGATGATATTGGTATCTATAAGGAATTCGTGACATGCATGTTGGTGTTTTCATAATCACAGCCCCCAGGCTGTACGTCATTGCAGTATGTATGAGTTCCTGCAATGACGTCATAGACAGATGATTCCCCCCGAGTTTCCAGTGACATATACTGTTTCTCAAGTTCAGCTTTGGTTTGGGCTTGTTGTTGTCGAAGTCTGAAAGATATAGAATAAGTTGGTTACATCGCTTTTCTCATATACAAGTTCAGAGAGTAAGAATTTTGATATTGTGAAGTAATCAATCTCTGGTGATGTGAATGCTAACGTTTAAAGTGTACAGTTATATAAAGTTTATTCTGACGGTAATGCAAGAAAAAGCTTTTTCAAAACCTCCCCGAATGCAGTGGATTAGAGAACATATTTGTTTTCATATTCAACTCTCTTTGTCTCTCTCTCTCTCTCTCACTCGCTCTCTCTCTCTCTCCCACACACTGTCTCTCTCTCTCTCACTCTCACACCTCTCTCTTTCTCTCTCACAATCATACACTCTTTCCCTCAACAAATGACAACAGAGGTAGCTCTACCTGACAATAAGTGTTGTTGCTACAGCTGAGTAAACAAGAGACAACGCCATTAGGCAACATACGACGATGAAGCAAACGTCTGAAAAACAGTGGGAGGAGTTATTCTATAAATTCTTAAATGTTCTGTCGGTGTAGATAGCGGTTTACGTAGATTATATATATATATAAGTATAATGTGAAAATCAATTACATTGTCCTCTGTGTGAAGACACATTAAGTATCAATCACGCACCTGTCCCAGTTAGTCTTACCTGTTGCATTGCCTGTATCATCAGCTTTGACTGGACTCGCAGTACCTGTTGGAAAACACAAACTGATATGAACACACTTGCAAGAGGTGCTCAACCTTCAAAGGAACACATCTGTATCAAGGTTTAATTATGAAACTGACACGTGATTTTTCATCATGAGACACATGAAGCACTAGATGCCATGCCTATGTGTTCGGGATTAGTATTGTTATTGTGATAAAAAACGTCTTTAGATTTAGATTTCACCAAAACGCATCGCAACATCTAACAACACAAATATTCTAGCAAGTATCACATGTCCTTAATATCAGTATTATTTTACATTGATTATGCAAACGTGAATTTCTAATTGCCTATTTCCTAATGAAGGCACTAAAGTCTTTGTGTCTTGGATTAAGGCGATAATAATATTCTATACAAAATGAATTCTTATCAATTAGACACTCAGATATGAATTGTCCGCTCAGAATTTGATCATGGTATTTAGACGACGGAGAGGTATATATGGCAAAGAGTATATCGTCAGCATATTAATCGGCGAATTATGTTGCTGTCTGACCTTGAACACTGGCTCAGATAGCTGCAGGCAATTTGACAGTGATTTTTTTGTACAAATGTCAGGGTATATATTATCCTGATAGCAATTACATTGACATTGCTCTGTTGTTTCTGTTGCTGGTGTTATTGTTGTTGTTGTCGTCTGGTGCCCAGTTCCACATTCCCCTGTGACTTTGTCACACACCTCACACTGGTTCAGACAGCTGCACACACCAGAACAGTTCAGACCGTACGTGTAGTCTCCACATTCTGAAACCCAACAGGTTTCAACAGAAGACGGTTTCTGTGAGTAAACTAATTCCCTAGGCGCTAACGTTGCCCTGTGCCTGGTGCTCAAAGAATAGGTTAGTTCCGAACTGTGATTAATCAACACTTTGTATACGAGTTCATGCTATGCCCATATTATCAAACTATTTGAAAAGAATTTAGAAAAGGTTGTGCAAAGATTTGTCATTATTTTGGTAATAATGTTTAATGTACATGTTTAAGAATTTGGGTAAATATGATACGATCACACATCCAACCTTTCACACACACAGTGGTGGGGCGTAGCCTGGCAAACACCCCATTTCACAGTTTCCAGTTGACCGGTCACACCCAGGACCGTCCTTGCAGTGACCACAGGTGGCTGAACAGTTTACATTGTACTTTCCCGGAACACATGCTGTTGGAAAATGTAATCAGCCATTAATTCTTCATATAAATGATAAATATTATTGACCATGAAGGATTTCATATATTGCGTGTCACTGAGACCTGCATATAGGAGGACTAACAATTTGATATTGTCTTCTGCTCCGGAATATGGATGAATTAGAATGAACACGTTCGAAATGTATATCCATTTGAAATATGGTGGAAGAATGAACGCTTACATACTCTTTAAAAAAGTAGCCGAGATATTGAAATACCTTTAAATTTCCAAATCTGTTATCTTACTTTCTAATAATAGTTGAGTAATACTATTCAGTGAAGTGGAAGCAATGGGGTTTCAGGAGTAACCACACAAAAGGGGACAACTTGACTGAAGACACTTCTTGTCATTCAGCTACAACAATTCTTGTGGTGATGAACATGTGGAGTATTGAGTGTTCATGGTCCATTTTCCACAACAGACTCCTAAAGAACCGTGTCAAACGAGCCAATTTTGAGTTGGACTTTGTACATAAATATATTTTATAGCATGGAAATATTCAACTTACATCAAGAACAACCAGTTGTCAAATTGGACACATTACATACATTAGGGACCTGTTCAAAGGTTCACTGTAGGATTAAACAATTACTTCTTTAGGTTTGGAGACATGATTTGCGAACATAACATTTGATACAAAATTGTCGAAAACATTTACCACCATTTTTCAAAAAGAAATCAATCACATTAGGAAAGTCTTATTCACACTCAACATTTGTCAACGACTCATCATTCAGCCATGACACAAAGTAACCTGGCATAACCTTAGTCCATTGCTTCTAGACAGGTTCACCTTATCCGAGGTCAAATGCCCAATCAACCAGACCTTAGAAATCGCCATGCATGTGCATGTATAACATGCATGAAGACAGTCAGTGATACATTGTGTAACCCATATGGTATAATATTATACTGAAAAAGGAAATTGGGTATTCACAGATCGTCTTTTGAGAAAGTAGAATCTCATGCCCCCTTTAAAGGTCTGTTAATCATCATTGTAAACCAAAAGTCACTGTGTTCTTTAATCTGATTGGTTGAGAAACGTGATCAAATGGTATTCGATTCCTGGAAATTCGCTGCGTATAATACATACAAACATTGCTCACACCATTGTATTGTTACGTCGTCAGCTGTGATGACGTCATGAAAATCATATTGTGACATAAAGTCCGAATCACGTCACAAATGAACAGTTCCAGATACTACCATGGGAGACAGCCGAAACGGCCGGCTGATGACATTTCACTGCTGTACCCGTACTCGATGTCAATGAGTGCAGACACAAAAACGTGTGTAGACCTTTTGGTTTACTTTTGTGTTTGCAATGTCGATAAACATCATGTGTTGGCGAATTTGTCGAGATTGTTTAGCGCCTGAGTAGTTGAAGCCAAGGTCTAGCCTCCTTACCCAAATTACCCGTGAACATCCGGGTTACATTTGATCTTCAGCAACCCAGGCTTGTCGTAAAGGGCGACTGGGTGGTCAGGCTCGCTATCTTGGTTGACAAGTCATCGTATCCCACTTGGGTGAATCGGTAATCATGATGTTGATCACTGGATTGTCTCGATCTTTTACAGACCGCCACCATATAGCTGGAATATTGCTGAGTGTGGCGCTAACCAAACAACCAACCAACCAACCAGCCAACCGTTCCCAAATCATGTGTTCTGTCAAACTGTTTCTACAATGCAGTTAGCTTCGACGACTTTACTGTAGATTACTCAAGGATGTGTGCACATAGTATCCATGACCGGGAACAGCTAACAATGCCACAACGTTGGACTTCTTCTGCTGTTGTCATGGTATTGTGTCTTTTTCTTCATATTAATATTTGAGGCTTTCCCTGGTAATTTCATTTTTCCACAAAGTAAAGCTTCGGAAAGTTGCTAATAGTCGACTAATTCAAGTCTAATCAATTTTAGTATTAAAGTAGTAGAATCTGAATCTGGCAACTACTTTTGAAAAAAGTACTGACATTTTGTTAATGGCAAATTAACACGAATGTATTACTTGAATAATTCCGCCACCCCAAATGACACCTTTTTCGTCAGTAACAGATATTTCTCACCTTTACACAAAGGGAGGAGGTAACCTATTTGACATCCCTGTGTGCAGTTTCCATCATCTTTCTTACAGTCGGTCGACCCGCGACACTGACCACACGTGGAGGAACAGTTGACCCCATACTGACCCTGGCCACAATCTGTACAGGTGATAAAGTATGGGACGTAGATCAACGTTCATTCAGTCTATGTTTATACACATAAATTTTAACAGTATGTTATGTTCAATAAAAATATACCTGTCAACCTTCTAGCGCCTCATAGACCGATTCTCGTTATTCGGGGTAATAATGTTCACCATGTTGTGTAAGCTTAAGGCATGCCAGTGCGATGTGGACGTCTTATTTTGAGGGGGGAATATTGTGTTGTTTTCAAGCAAATTATGTTTTCACACCGATCATGTTTTCTAATATCGATCTATAGCAAATCAGCCTCAACATAATGTATGTTTCTCTTGTCCATGAAGCAGCGTCATCTCACCGTCCTGGCATCCAACCCCTGTCTTCCCAGCACGGCAGCCACTTGTACAGTTCCCGGTGGTCGTGTTACATACATCTGTTTCATTCTGACAATTGCACTGTTTACTACAGTTGGTGCCAAACCAGCCATCACTGCACACTGAAAATATTCAAAACCTAGTAAGCATTCACATGAGTATAACCGTTGTGGTTCCTTTGGGGGAAATAACAAGCAAATAATAAGTACACAACTATATATATGCATATATATAATAGCTTTATCTTACCTTCATGTGAAATACTTTAATTTCATTGGTCAGTGACGCTTTAACAAGTTTCTTTGTCACCCCTCCCACGTCCTTACAATACTTGCGTAATGCTGTTGACACAACAAAGAACTGCATAGAGTTTAGATCATTTTCATGCAATTCTCACCTTTACACAAAGGGGGACTGTAACCCTGTTGACATCCATGTGTGCAGGTTCCATTAACCTTCTGACAATCAGATGACCCACTACACTGACCACACGTGTAGGAACAGCTGACCCCGTAGTGACCATGGTCACAGTCTGTAAAGAGTGTAAGATATTCACCATATAGCAGCAAAAGAAAGAAAAATATCTTCAGATGGATACGTAATTATATATTATATGTACAATATCATAATGACTTCAAACGATATATTACATCACTATAATGCCACCAAATATCAAGACGACGTTTTTGAGGAGCAGTATTTTAAAAAGGGGCATTGCAATACACGATATCAACGCATTACAATTGTACAAAATAAAAAGGCCACGCGCTCTATATGGCTAATTTGCCATTAGAACGAGACTAATTTAAAGCTAGTATTAGCATGACCAAACCTAACCTTGTTGACACCCTGGTCCTTGTTTCCCAGCAGCACATCCACTCCTACAGTTGCCAGTTCCCTTGTCACATACTTCAGATGAATCTAGACACTGGCACCGCTTGTTACAGTCAGAGCCAAACCAACCATCACTGCAAACTACAAGGACATCAGTTTCAGTTTCATAATGTTCGTAATATACTTTCTATAGTCTTAACTAGCGATGGGTATCAAACTCTATGTTATGTATCACTTTCTTGTAGAACATGTTTCTCTGAAACCTTGATATGCAGGATACGTTATTTTATCGTAAAAAGAGCTCGGGAAATATAGCCAAAGTCAGTCAGGAGCTGTGAGAATATAATGACATGTTAGATACCTTGCTGACACCCTGGTCCATGTTTCCCGGCAGCACATCCACTCCTACAGTATCCAGTCTCCTTGTCACATACTTCAGATGTATTGAGACACTGACACTGCTTCTCACAGTTACCCCCAAACCAACCATCACCGCAAACTGCAAGGACATCAGTTTTAGTTTGATAATGTTCGTAATATACTTTCTATAGTCAGGACTAACAACGGATATCAAACTCTAGACTATTTGATCACTTCCTTGTTGAACATATTAAATGGCTACATGCTGGATACTGAATTTCATAGTAAACAGAGATCGCCAAATATAACCATTTGGACAGCAAAGGTTCGAGAATATATCAGCCTCGTTGGATCCTGTGGTTCTGCGGTTTGTAAATTATGATTTACTTAGAGTTTTGAATTCCTACAACCTTCCTAACTTCACAATTGACAAGTAGAACGTTTTGGACAAGAGGTTCCCTTGACCAAACCCTCTGACAGCTATCACTGTCCAGATGACCGTGTTTCATTCAGTTTCTGCTGACTAGCTACTATTTCACCATGTGCAGAGTTTGCCATAATAAATCAAACATACATTGTCACACACCTATCCAGAAGGTGTTGTTGATATGAAATCTTCCAAAATTTACAAATTATATTCCTTTTCTGATATTTAAAAAGGACACCTGACAAACTTGCAATAACTGTCAGACGTATGTTTTGGTTTCTGTAAGGTGTAACTATATCCTTTTATCGTTATATGTGATCTGAACGAAGTAAAGTTCCAATTCAGTTGCAATTAATTGCAATTACAAGTACAATTACAATTCAGTTTTCTTCTTTCGTCTATTCGCCCATTGAGCTTCCATCACCACTGAATAATGATTGACCTGTAATTATGTGCTTTCACCATAACGCACATAACACGTTATCATGTTGTACAACATAGCAAACAAAGGTTCTTAGCATCTACACATACAAACATTTAGGTGGTAACGTGTCCGTTCAGCACGTCACCGTGAATAGCTGCAATTGCTTATGCGGTGTTAAGCAATACTTATACACTCACTCACTCCCGTTAAAATATCTCACTTATCAGAAGCAATGTTACACATGAGTAATGATGTACTGATTTCATTCTCTATTAAATTCACAGCCTCTTGTCAACAATATCATGAACAACATACATACTCTCGAGCTCGATGTCGATCGGATCATACTTACTAAAAACTTGAACCTCGCACAATGCCAGAAATACCCCGTTTATGGTGATGGTAACATTATTCCCCTTCATTACGTGGGTACATGTGACGTCAACAGGGTTTGTGACAGGTCCATGTAACCAGTCAGGTGTTCCACTCACAGGGACACACAGGTCGCCGTTCACAAGCACCTGCAGGCCATTGTTGCGGTCCCAAACTTTAAATTGAAAATTGAAATGAAATACAAAATGTATGAATAAATTATCAGAGGATCATGAAATACAAATGTTGATATCAAGTATTTGAACAAAGAATAGTGTTGCCAAACATCCTACACAAGAACATTTATTTCTGTATGCACGTTACGTGCCCCAGGCAGTAAGTCCTTTCGCGTAAGATACGGCGGCTGCAACGTGATCTTCGTACTCATCGTCCTCGTGGGTTGTCTCCCCTACCAGCTGTGACATTGTCTAGACGTCAGTGTCGCTTTGCGTTTCCTCGATAGTCCCAAACGTGTTTAACAATGTCGAAATGAACGCCAGGGCAACATCAGCCCGAGACGCGGTTTTGATGGTATGACCGAGGGAACCCCACACCATACTGTACAAGGTAGGTTCATGGACAGTGCTATCTGAACATTCCTTGTTGTCCCATTTGCAAAGGCGTTTAAGACGACGTTTTGTCTTTCAGGAAGATAATGCCCGTGCTCACCGTGAACAATTCCTCATTGCCCAACGTGATAAAAACACTGACCACCATGCCAGGTGCAGCCAGGCGATAGGTACAGACAATGTAATCGACTATGGGAAAACAATATGCCTCGTCGTGTGAAGAATATTTTAGAAATAGTATTGGTATTATGCATTACTGACCTAATAACGTGATCGCTGGCGGTCATACTCTGATACTTCCCTAACGCTTGTAATGTCTTCCCAATTCGTTCACTATTACCAGAAGCGGAAATATATTACAAAGTAGTTTATATTTTCAAGTTATTTCCGAGTATTCCCACTTTTCAAGAGGCTTATGATATCCTAAACGCCCTTCTAGAATTAGAATGATAAAGAAGATAAAAGTATTCTTTTGTAGTGTCAGAAGTAAATGGGCAACTCATGGATATTAATTTTATTATGCTGTGGTTTTATTGAGGACGATAATTTCGATGTGCATTGAAAGGACAGGTACTGTCATTCTAATTCTGTACCTCACACGTGTGTCGCGTTGGCGACCTCGCTAAAGTCAAATCACACTCTTGCGTTTTCTCATAAACAACAACGGGATGTTTTTATGTTTACACTTTATTAAACCAAACAAGCTAATTTCTGAAAACTCAGCAAAGTGTTTGTTTTGAAATCTCTCTGCTGATAGCTTACAATTAAAAAAAACAAGCTATAAACAGCTGGCTATTAATCATATCAAAGTCAACTTGTGTAAGGTGTTACGAGAGTGTGTTATTTTGTAATTATCACTGATGAAGTGAAAGTTATTATTGGGTCACAATGTTTAAAGTTTTGAGTGTGGGTTGTGGGTCACGTTTCGTATCATATATGTTCAATGGCAATAGTATTTTAGCGGCACGCCTTTTGAGATAGCGCTCCAGAGTTCCCTCCCTTGGCTTTATTTCTCTTTTAACCGGCCGTACGTTCCACTTATTTCCATAAAGTACTGAGAGAATAATGATACAGCCACGCTTTGCTTGAAAGTTCTAGACACTAGTCAGTATATATAAAAGCTGGTTATTGTGTTGACACGGGACTTTTTATATCACTGGAGTTGTGTACATCGCCTGCCGTCACCTGCCTATCGTCGTCGTCGTCGTCTGTCATCGTCTGACCTACATTCAAGACAGTGCGAGTCTGATTGCTCTCATTACTTTAGATTTGTGACTCAATTGCATTGTACTAAATATCTGTATTGTCATTTATTGTAGCTTGCTCATTGTTTGCTAAATATATAATTGGATATTTTAGACTTGTCTGTGTTATATTTTGCTGGTTCAAAGGGGACTCTTAAACCTTTTGTCAAGGCAATTATTTAACCGTAACAAAGGAAGGTGTTTAATAGTCAATATAATCTAACTTCTTCTTGCGTTGCATAATGTAGTTGTTTTTGTAACTAACATTTATCCAGGATAGTGGGACATTGCATGTGTTGGTGAAACAGAACTAGTTAATGTATATGACTTACAGCTGTCTCGCAGGTAGATCCTGATGCTGCTGATGTTGAACATCTGATGATCATCAAGGAGCACCTGCCAGCTGGCAGACCCACCAACCGGTTCATCTGTCTCAGAACAACTCCTTTGAGTGAAATCTGTGTCAGTGTTCCCATCTACAGCATACGCAGCACAAAAGGGGCCGTTTTCACTATAATTGCTACTCTGTGCTGCTGTCTTTTGAAAGGCAATGTTTTCTGTAAGCAGATGAACAGAATCATATCAGAAGCACAGTCGTGTGTCATTAAAGCTATTTTAGTTCACTTTGACTATAGTAATCAGGACGCCAGAGTTGGATGATATCAATATCATTAATACATTACACTATCCAGAAGCGAACAGATGGATGGGTGTTCAGGGTCGGTGGCTTGGTAGGTCTTTGCTTACTACATCAATCAGGCTCGATTATTTACAAGCCACCGTCACATAGCGGATAACATTGAAAGCGTCAAACTAAAAAATGATCGTTTACAAGGGTGACTCATAGCTTAAAACACCAATAGCTCATAGTGCTTCCTGCAGAATGAAAAAGATGGAAAATCTATGAATAGATGTTCAATTGACTAACACACGTCAGTCTGAGCGGATTCGACCAACGACATTGCCTGCAGGGGCCAATCGTTAATTCGTTCACTAATACAGTATGTTTAGTGAGTGAGTGAGTGAGTTAAGATTTTAAGTCACATCGGCAATATTTCAGCCATATCGTGACTAAAGCAAGTTATAAATATATCGACAATTTAAGTGAAATTATAAAATACTGCCGACGAAGGACAGTAAAATAACTAGATTATCACAGATATAGATATAAAACTAGTAACTAAATCTAAAACATTTGAACTATACAAGACGATACAATATAAAAAACAGGCTATTGATCGCCAACAACTAAAGGTAGATCACCATACTAGGGACCATGGGGACTTACAGTACATTTGCTTCCTGCATGGACCCTAGCTGGATTTACACCATCCCTTCAGCCATTGGCGACAGAAGAGAAACCTAGCCATAAATTAAAAGTACAAATATTCTACGATTAAAAACCTGGTACACTTAAATTGACTAAATGTTTTGGGACTTACGTACCCTCTCAGGAGGACAATAATTTTACGCTACTTCAACCCCCTTTGAGGGTACAGCCACTAACAATATCAGTTATTAATTTTAACTACCAATAATAAAATATATATCTATTTACAAATCAGTTAGCAAGTCTAATTTTTTTAAAAAGGCAATAAGTAAATGAGAACTTATATGACTAAAAAGATCCTTCATAGTTTTTACTTTAAAATAAATATCCCTGTGATGGAATATTCAACACAGTCAAGCAAGACATGCTTGACCGTGATTCGTTCATCACAAGGGATACAAAACGGAGGATCCTCACCTTTCACGGATGTAAGATCGAATGCAAGCTTTGTAATCAGAGTATGGGAGCAGAAGTGGTGTCACAGATTTGTTGAGTGCTGCCTTAGCAGCAATATCAGCCATCGTGTTCCCAGAAATGCCAACGTGGCTGGGTAACCAACAAAAGACGATGTCGCATTGGCCAGTAGCAAGCTCATTATACCATTCAATAATTTCTAATAAAAGTGGATGTTTGCAAGAAAGATTTTTTATAGCCTGAAGACACGAAAGAGAATCTGAAAAGATGATATATTGTCCATATTTACGGTGTTTATTAATATATTTAAGAGCTGTTAAGATGGCGTTTGCTTCTGCTGTAAATATAGAGCTGTTATCCGGTATTCTAGAAGATATTGTTCGGGATCCAATGACAGTGGCACATGCCACCGCGCCACCATCCTTGGACCCATCTGTAAAGAAGGATTTGTATGTATTATATTTATTTCTTAATTGACTAAATTCTTGTTTATACCTGTAATTCGTTTGTTTCTGATTTTTAAACTTAGTCAGAGTTAGGTCAACTTGTGGCCTAACCAATTGCCAAGGAGGAGAAGAAAGAAGACGAGAAGGAGCTATATTTCCCAGCTCAATGCCGGCAGCAGTAATGAATGGCTTCATTCTAAGCCCCAGTGGAGGAACAAGAGAAGATTTCTGGTTGTACAAATCCTCATAAAGAGGATTAAAGATACACTGAAATGCAGGATTGGATTCGTTAGAATATAGTTTTGTAAGATATTGTAAAGATAATTTTATACGTCGGTGGGCTAGAGAAGGCTCGTCTGCTTCGACATAGAGACTGTCCACAGGAGAAGTTCTAAAAAGATCCAAGACATAGCCTTAGACCTTGGTGGTGGACAGAATCAAGTAGTTTTAGATTGCTTTTGCAGGCTCCACCATATACGATGGAGCCATAATCAAGTTTCGAGCGGACCAATGATCGATATAGGTGGAGGAGGGTAGCTTGATCCCTCCCCACTTTGTGCTAGAAACTACTTTCAACAAGTCAAGTGCCTTCAGGCATTTAGTTTTAAGGATTTAATATGTGGCAGAAACGTTAAGTGCGAGTCAAAAATTAAAACCCAAGAACTTGGCCTCCTTAACAACTTTGATGGACGTGCCATTTAGAGATAGTTCAGGGTCTTTATGCGGTTTGTATTTACGGCAGAAATGTATACAATTTGTTTTGGATTTAGAAAATTTAAAGCCGTTTTCAAGACACCATTTATTTATTTTGTTTAAACATAACTGCAATTGCCGTTCAATAGTATGCATATTTTTACCACGACAAGAAATGTTAAAATCATCCACAAAAAGTGATCCATCGATCGAATCATTTAAAACCTTGGATAAACTGTTGATCTTGATACTAAAACAATGTGACAGACAAAATACTGCCTTGTGGGACACCCTGATCCTGATTGTAATGACCAGACAGGGTAGATGCCACTCGGACTTGAAACTGTCTGTCTTTTAAAAAGTTAGCAATAAATTGAGGCAAACGGCCTCGTAATCCGAAGCCATGTAAATCTTTTTAAAATGCCATATTTCCACGTGGTATCATATGCTTTTTCAAGATCAAAAAGATAGACACAGCGTGTTGCTTTGTTAATAAGAGCATTTTTAACAAATGATTCCAAACGCACTAGGTGATCGACAGTACTTCTGTTCTTACGGAAACCACATTGTATATCTGTTATAAGGTTGTTTGTTTCCAAGTACCAAACAAGTCGATTATTTATCATCCGTTCCATGGTTTTGCAAACGCAGCTAGTTAGGGAAATTGGCCTATAGTTGGAAGGATCAGTATGATCACGTCCAGGTTTAGGGATGGGCACAATTATAGCATCGCGCCAGGATGAAGGAAATTGTCCAGATGTCCAAATATCATCAAAAATAGATAAGAGCGTCTCTAAACATGAGTCTGGTAAGTGCTTAAGGAGTTGATAATGTACGTTATCAGCTCCGGAAGCTGTATCATGAGCCTGGTCAAGAGCAGTATGAAGCTCGTGAATGGAAAAGGTTTCATTGTAATCTTCCCCATTATCTGAATTGAAATTAATAGCTTTCTTTTCTTGCTGTTTTTGATATTTTTGGAATTCAGGTACATAATTGGACGAGGAAGAATGTTTGGCCAACGTCTCACCAAGTTTATTTGCAATATCTGATTTATTAGTCAATAATTGGTTCCCATCTGTCAAATGGTGAATGTTAGATTTAGAGCCCTTACCTTTGATCTTCTGGATCATATTCCACACCTTTGATATTGGCGTGCGCGAATTTATCTTCGATACATAGTTTCGCCAAGAGTGACGTTTACTTTGCTTAAAAAGTACGCCGTGCTTTAGCATTTAAAATCTTAAACTTGTTCAAATTATGAACCATGGGATGGCGACGGAAGTAATGTTCTGCCTTTTCCTTGCCTTCCTAGCTTGTTTGCAGTCATCGTTGAACCATGGTTTTCTAATGTGTGGAATTGCAGAGGACTTGGGGATGCACACATCCGCTATGTTATTCCAGTTTATCAGAGAAACTCTTTATAGCATCAGTAACATCAATGAAAAGTTCAGGTTTAAGTTCGTCAGCACACGGAGTTGCATATAAAGGCCAGTTAGCCTTTTGAAATTCCATCTGGTTGATGGAGGAACATCAGATGGGGCTACTGGTTTTAGAACTGTAGGAAAGTGGTCGCTTCCACAAAGGTCGTCATGGACGGACCAATCAAATTCATTTAGGAGATTTGAGTCAGTGATGGACAAGTCAAGATTAGAATAAGTACCAGTACCAGGATGGAGATAAGTGTGTGAGCCATCGTTATAAATGCATAAATCGTTGTTTGAAATGAAATCTTCAAGTAACCTTCCTTTATTGCTTGTATGCATACTGCCCCAGAGTGGGTTATGACCATTTAGATCGCCCATAATGATGCAGGGCTTGGGAAGCTGGTCGTAGAGCGCTTGAAGATCAGTTAGTTGAAGCAACGATGTTGAGGAATGTAAAGAGAGCACAAAGTAAAACAATGTGCATAGTTATTCGAACTGCAACAGCCTGAAGATTTGTATGAATTAAAACCGGGCTGTGGAGAACACCCTGCCGTACGAAAACAGAAGATCCACCCGTAGCTTTAGTCCCTGGAGGGGAGAATGAATGGTAGGTACTGTACTGACGTAAATCAAAGTTATCAGTTTCTTTAAGGTATGTCTCCTGGAGACATATTGCTGACGGCGTATAATCCTGTATTAATAAGTGTAAATCATTTAAATTGGACCTGAGACCTCTGCAATTCCACTGAAGGAGTGAACTAGGACCATTCATGTAATGGGTGGATGTACAGGGGATCTATTTTTCCCTTTTCTAGGCGACTTACTTCTGTTGCGCCCGTGGTAGAGAGGAGAGACATCCATGTCCTCCAAGGTGTGATAACGATTTTGAAGACGTACAGGGTCACGCTGACCCTTTGGTATACGATCTGAATGAATAGAGTGATCAATTTGTTTTTTAGTCGATTTCGGAACAGGTGATGGTTTTGGTACCGATTTTGGTTCCACTGCTGGAACCACTGGCGACAGTGAGACAACTGTAGATAGATCTTCCGTTTGTGACGAAGAACTAGATGATTGTTGACGAGGTTTAGCCAAGATTGGATTAGATGATTCAATCCATGTGTATTCGGTTTGGCAACCTACTGACTGACATGAAACCGGTCGAGAAATTGGTGTTGAGGCAGAAGTAGCAGCCGCATAAGTTGGGCCTGGTTTTCAAGAGCCAGAACAAGTTTCCTCGCTTCAAAAAG